TTCAGTCCGATTTGGCCCGCGTGGTTCCGGGCTGGTCGGTGCTTGGCCCTCGCTGCTGACTCGGCGTCAGAGTTCCCGGCCGCCGGAACCCACCGTGCGCAGTAGGTTGTCGGTGAAGGTCTGCAGACCCAGCGGACGCGGGGTCTTGCGAAGGCCGCGGCGCAGCTGGGCCCCAGACGGGGTCGTCTACCTGTGTGGACGCAGAAGAGCCAGCGCCCGGACATTGCGTCCAGGTGGCCCCTGACCCCCGACCTTCACCTTCCCCGAGGCCGTACGCCTACTTCCCCTTCGTGCTTCAGGCGAGGAGACCTCAGGTTGGGGACCAAGCCACTGACTGCATAGATTGTCATGGCAGAAAGTGGAATTGGAGATCTGGGCTCGAAAGCATCCACTCAGCAAGCACGTTTGGCCCCTTCTTCCCCAGTAACAAGGCTCCCCCTGGACCCTTCGTCCGTACCTGTCCCAGGGCAAGCACTAACCCTCTCTCTCACCTTGACCAGCCATCTCCCCAACTCTGTCTCCAGTATCTCCTCACTGCCACCCTGGAAGCCCTTCCCGAAAGGGAAGCGCACACCTGCTTGCTTTACTCGCTATTGCCAGCCACAGCTGGGCATTCTGTTCTCAGAGGTTAGCAGGCAGTGCCTACATGGCCCGTCTTTCAGGAATCAGCTCACGGTCCACCTCTTCCAGGAGGCATTCTAACAAGGAAAGAACTGCAATCTCCCGGCCTGGAGAAGCTAAGGAATCTGAGTCATGGCTCAGACCCCTCCTCCCACAGCCTCAACCAGCTGTCATGTCCCCTCTGCTCCCCCATTCCTCATGCTCCCTGAACCTCATGGTGCCCAGGTTCCATGCCAGCCTGGAGCAGGAGATGGAGAAGTGAGGAGATGGATGATCTCAACAAAGGATATGAAAGTCTCAGTGGTCCCAAAATGACAAGGGGCTGAGGCCCTGGAATTTGGTGAGGGCGGGGTGATGTGCACGGGAAGTAGAATGGATAGAGCTGAACATGCTTGGGGCCTGCTCCCCAGATGTCCCAGAGTTCTCATCCTTCCTCATACCTTTTTTCCCATTGGTTACTCTTTCCCAGTTTGTTACTTTGTCGACCTCCTCCCCTGCATTGTTACTTTGTTACCGGTTTTTCCCCAGACAGAGGTACCTTCTTTCAGTGTTAGGTTTTGGAAGCACCCACAAGGCACTAATAAACTGGACCCACCGATGATGGAGTCAGCTGTCATTCACCGCCCTAACTCCCCTGTCATACGACGTCACTGAGTCCAAAACAACATCCCTGGTCACTCAAAGTTCCTCAGATGTCCTCTCTCTTGTTCTTTCTGAACTTATCGCTCTCCGTCATTCAGAAGTAAAGTTTTCTTATTTTTTCAGGAAACAGGTGTCCTCTTCTTGGCTATGCTGTAGCCATACCTTCCCTAGCCCCCACCCACTGCCCTAGCAATAAGAGCCCCTAGGACTCTGTGGGGTGACAGTTCCAGAAAGGTGTGAGAAGAGCCCATTAGCCATACCTTCCCTAGCCCCCACCCACTGCCCTAGCAGTAAGAGCCCCTAGGGCCCGGTGGGGTGAGAGACAGTTCCAGAAAGGTGTGAGAAGAGCCCATATCCCATTGGGCTTCAGGGTGAGAGAACTCATTGGGAATGTCAAACTGTGGGGAGCTTAGGGAAGTTTCTGCTTGGAATAAGATGGCAATTGAAGGACGGGATGAATGAGAAAGGAATTCAAGGGTGGCAGGGTGTAGAGGGGAGAGTAAGGAAACTGAAGTAGACTGAGAACTCAAAGATCCCACGATTCAGAGAGAAAAGAACAGGAGTCTTCTGAGGACGCAGAGAAGCAGAGGAAGTGGAGAGAGGCCACAGGAGGGGTTTTCATCAGAAGGCTGCAGGGGACATTGTGAAATGCCCTAGAGAAGTTACATGGAAAAATAAGGCAGAAACCAGTGGGTGTGATAGCAAGGAGTGTGATAATGCTGTAATTTTGGGTGAGTAGTGATGGGAGGTAGGATGAGTGGGCAGGGACAGTAGATACCACTTTCCCAGAGAAGACTGAGAAGGGAGGGAGAGAACAACCTGCTGAGGGGGCTTTTTAGAGGGGGGCAGATGACCCTGCTGGAGAGAGAAAGGCTGCTTGATGGAGCATCCTCATGACAGAGGTGCAAAGACACATCCGTCCACCCTCAGGCTAGACAGGGCAATGGGCTGGAGCACACGGGTCTTGCGTTCAGTGGTTCTCACATCCGAGCTGCATCAGAAACACTTGTTAACATGGGGCTCATTTTAATGCAGATTGCTGGGCCTCATCCCAAAATTTCTGACCCAACAGGCCTGGGGTGGGGCCCTTGAACCTGCATTTCTAACAAGTTTCTGATGCTGCTAATGCATTGGTCAGGAACGCCATTATGAGAACCTCTGTCTGCCTCAGTCAAATGTTGGCTCTATACCTGCTGACCGTGGAAAGTTACTGAAGTCTAAATCTCAGCTCACTCATCAGGGCAATGGTATAATGATGACGACCACTTCAGGGGTTGGTGTGGGGTCACAGGTAGGCTTACCCTAACCTTTGCAGCGGCTGGGGCAGAAAGCAAATCCAGGTATGTACATGCTGAAAATTTGTGACTTAGGCTGCAAACTCATCAATCTATCTCTTCTCCTACCTTCAGAACTGACATCTTTACAGCCATGGTCACCCTCAGCTACTGCTCCTTGAGAGGACACGGCAGGTGTTTCTCTGACGCTGCTTCCACAGACAGGTCTCAGTGAAGCCGCAGGCCACCAGCTGGGACTCAAGGGAATGGTTTTCTATTGACATACACCTGGATTCTCCACTAGGCCTTCAAGGCAAATGGCCTCAGTCTGGCAGAGAGCCACCCTAGCCTTCCGCCCCTGAGCTGAGCTCACTTGGGACCACCAGCTGCCTGTGTAACCCTTGCAACTTATGGCAGGCTATGCACACCTGGGCTAACCTGGCACTGGGAAGTTTAATTTTTTTAAAAAATATATGTTTTTATTGATTTTTTTTTTAGAGGAAGGGAAAGGAGAGAGAGAGAAAAAACAACAACACAAAAAACCATCGATGTGAGCGAGAAACATCAATTGGTTGCCTCTTGTCTGCACCCTGACCAGGGATCAAATCCGCAACCTGGGTATATGCCCTGACCTGGAATGGAACGGACAACCTTTCGGTGCATGGGATGACAACCAACTGAGCCACACCTACCAGGGTGGGAATTTTTTTATTGTAGCAAGACTGTGAGGGAAGTGGGGAGGGAGGTGGTGGTGATGAGGGGCCTGCTGGCTCTGCTTCTCCTGGTTTTCCCCTTGGGTGGGGGGCCCAGGGCAGGTGAAGCTCAGGAAGATGCCCTCCAGGGAGACCTGGCTGACTGAGTAGTCATCCAGCATGTACTTCTTGGCTTGCTCCCGAGTGCCAAATACCTACAGTGGATGGTAGGCACAGGGGAGGGGGGAGGAGACAGCAGAGGGTGGAAAGAGGGAGGGTCCTTGGAGTTGTGATAAGGACCCCAAAAGGCCATCTCTCTTTCAGCTGTCCCCAGAGCACTCCCAGCACGTCAGTCCTACAGAATTCAGCTGTCTGCCATCTCGGGGACCCTGGCTGGGAATGGTGCCAGGAAGCAGAAGTCCCGGCGAGCCCCTGGCTTGCTGTACGATGCTGGGTATGTGGCGTTCTCTGTCTGGGCCTGCCACCCTCTCTGTGAAATGAGGAGGAGCTGATCTCCAAGGTCCCTTCCAGCACAGACATCTAATGTTCTATGAAATCCATATGAACATTGCCATGGAGGCATCCGAGAGGAACTGCAGCAGCATTGAATGTGATTTCCACCCGAAAGAGAAAACACCGGAAAGCGGGTGACATCAGAGCTAGGCTCCCTCCAATGCCCAGGTATATGCTCACCTTCACCCAGCTGAGAGCATTGCCAGGCAGGTGATAACAGGCCATTCCTTGGTGCTCATCTTCCAGGACACTGCCTGCACAACGGAGAGACCGTGTCCCCATGAGGGCTGGGCTGGAGGGCCACGGCAGGGTGGCCTGGGCCCACAGAATTTCAGTCTTCATCCTAGGGGCCAGGAATGCGAGACTTGGCAGGGGTGAGGCACAGATGCCCTCTGTGTAGTGTCGCACACCTGGGAAGGTCAGGTCCACAAATGCCTTGAACTCCTGCAGCGCCTCCTGCTGCCTGTTGGTCCTGACTTTGGCCCGCAGGGAGTAGCCACTGCCAAACTTGCTCTTGAGGTGCTGCGGGCTGCCCAGGCACTGATGCCAGCCGGGTGCACAAGGCCTCACAGTCCTCCATGCTGGGGAGAGGGGGTGGGGGCCTGACATCCTTTCAGCTGCCCCCAGAGCACTGTCACCTGTATGAGCACTCCCTGGGGGAGGGATGGGTTTGCTGACATCTACCCTCTGTGTCAAACGCTGGATGTCAACACCCAGATCAGGCTGTTCCTGATTCCCATGCTCAGAGTGTGGCCCACATGCTAGAGCAGCCGTGGGCAAACTACGGCCTGCGGGCCGGATCCGGCCCATTTGAAATGAATAAAACTAAAAAAAAAAAAAGACTGTACCCTTTTATGTAATGATGTTTACTTTGAATTTATATTAGTTCACACACTCCATCCATGCTTTTGTTCCGGCTCTCCGGTCCAGTTTAAGAACCCATTGTGGCCCTCGAGTCAAAAAGTTTGCCCACCCCTGTGCTAGAGCCTGGAGATTCTCCTCGCAGATTCTGTTTCAACTGATGTCAGGTCTCTGCCTACCCAGTCCCTCCCAGCCTATTCCTCCCATAGCCCCCATCCCAGCTCATCCATCCACCCACAGAGCCCTGAGCTCTACCTATGGGAGGTGATGATGATGGCCTTGCGGGCCTTACGGACCCTCGCCACAGTTCCCCAGAGCAGGCACTGGGCCACAGGGTCCATGCCAATGGATGGCTCATCCAGAAAGGTGACCACAGGCTCTCCCAGCAGGGCAATGCCAGTGCTCAGCTTCTGCTTGCTGCCACCGCTAGGAGCAGAGAGGAGGAAGGTTTGGGTGAACGGCAGTTGTCAACCTCCAGTAGTCCAACCCTCCCCGCTTTTTCTTCTCTGTCCAGAAAGTGCTCACAACCCCTGGTGGGGCTTTTAGTAATTGTCCACGCTGAGTATAAACCATACCCCTGACACAGGGATCAGTCCAGGTAAGTACATGGTCAATGAGCCT